AGAGCTATCTGGCAACACACCAGGGGCAGCCAACATCTTAATAAACTAAATATAGTTGTCTATGACAACAAGGGGGTTAGAAGGGTCCAGGACACCCCTCTCCCACTGTTTGATATGTGCCAAATAGTCACATGGACCAGCCAGAATCTGAAAACATTAAGCAGTTACATCTTTTTAAATCACGTAATTCACTCCATGACCATGTGCAACTTATAGTAACAATAATGTTCATGCTGAGGCAATGTACTTGAGGGCTCAGAAAAAGCAAAATGTGCCACTGAGAGAAACCTGTTCCCATACAACTGGTTTTCATGCTTTCAAGTGGCCCTAATACACCTTTGAAGCTAAGCCAAGCCATGCAAAAGCAAAGAGTACACACTTTTCATTAACATTGGTATCTCATTTTGCTAAACTCCACTGACCTCAGAGTTGCCACTGAAACATATCAGTACTGAATGCATACAAACGACGGTTCACGGGTTTTTTAAAATGCATTTCCCTCGTCTATATTTACCAGCCTGTAATACCTTAGGCTACAAGGCATTTCAGAGAAAGGTTTAGTGGGGATAATGACAAAGGAACATATGCAATTCTGGAAATAGAAAAATACTCCAGAAATGGGATCAATGTGCCAGCAATTCACATAGTTCATTTCACTGAAAGTTCAGCTACAGAGCCCAATAAACAGTTCCAAGCCATAATGTTATCACCTGCATAATTTACATAAACATTAAAACTCTTGCACTTTATAGACAAAACACACGTCTGTAAACATGGCCACTGGGGGAGGGAGGCTCCCTACCTCATTCATGATCGAAAACATGTAATCATTATATTAAATAAAATGACTTTGCTTCAAAAGATGTAAAACCTGACCGATTAAGCTTCACTTTCCCCTGTTCAACAACAGTTAAGCATTAATTCTAAAAATGTCACCTAGGATGGTTTCAGGATTAGATGCTAGGACCACAACTGGCAATGACAGCAACTCCTCTCTAGCTGGCACAGACTTATAAACTTTAGTACAAAAACAAAAAAATACAGAAACTAGGTCAATTTGTTAGCTACATATTTACAGATAATTACATGATTTTTCACTCATAATTGCTAAAAACTATGAGTGAAAAGGAAACTGTGCAGGCTGAATTACCCGTACTTGGGGGGGGGGGGAGGGCACCTTGGGCATCAAGACACCCTTTTCATTCATTCAGAAATCTCATCTTCTCTCCACTTTTCCATGGCAAACTACCTACAGATGTCCAGGTTGGTATATCCAGTGGGCATCCTGTTTCAGCGAGGATTCACTTTTTTCTACATTAAAGAAGAATTTCTTGTATATTTAAAATAAAAAAAATAAACCCGACACAGACAGACACATACATACACGCAAAAAAATCTCTCCGCAACTTCAAAAAGTTAGGATTGCTGGGAAACAGTTAACAGTGATGGTGACATAGTAAATGGCTCCCCAGTTTTAATTCTCCGCCTGTATTTTCTTTAAAGATATCTATTTTTGGGTGGGTGGGAGGGAAGTGCAAGTTTAAGAAACCCACAAGAGGCAGATAAGGTGCATATTAATTTATATTTCTTGTAATCTGAAGACTGTCATTAGGCCAAACGGGTTCTCTTCGTGTGAGTGAAATTTTGGAAATTTGAATATAAACGAGGGAAAACTTAGTCAACGTGACTTTAAAGGGGGCTACAGGAATTCAGCAGAAAAATATAAATGCACAATAACGGAAGAGTTCTCAGCTTCACTTTCTTTTTCTAGACAATGTTTAAATAAAACTTACTTCCTTACAAATTAATAGTCATATCCAATGCAGACCTATTGTGGTGATTTCATAAAAGTGCAGACAACATAACCACACACACAGCAAGACAGACTTCAATCAGTAGTCCTTGCATACAAGAGGCAAGTCTGCTAAGTGTACAGCACAGCCTTCATCCTTTAGGGAATCTGAGGATGGGAAATTTCCAGTTCTCAACTTAAGAGTAAGTGAGCGCCTTCTCAAAGGCAATGCTACAACCTCAGGGGCACTATCATGTTAGGTGAGGGAAAAGAAGAGAGACTTTGTCTCTCTTTAATAATGATCTGTATTTTGGTAAGCAGCTCAAAGATGACAGCCCAAGTTTTGGCTTTGTTCCTTAGAGAAGGTAGTTTTCTATCTAAGAAACAAGAACCTCTTCTTCCATCATTATAGGAGATTCACACTTCTAGACCTTAAATATATTATTTTCTGACTTGAATACACACTACACACTTCACATTGTAAGCATGGGACAGAATGCAGGACCATATAAACCTCCCAGGAAAGGGTTGCTGTGTTGGGCCAAATCTGTGCTTGAATAGTAGTGGCTCAGAAGAGCTGGAAGGTGCATGAAGAACTTAACTATTGGCAAGCAAGAAGAGGCAGCTCAAGGGAGAAAGCCCCACACCAATACCATATCCTTCTCTCCCAGTGGCCATTTCCTGTTGATCTCACCGTTTAGGAGAACCTTAGATGCTTTAGTAGTAATTCCTTTCTTGGCTGTTTTGGTCCTTAGCAAAATGTGTAAGTGTTAGTATCAGTGGAGTAAAAAGAGCAAGAGGATCAATGGCATCACTACTAAGAAATACACTGAGATCGCGCACATGGAGACTGTGACTTACTGGTTCTTTTCATCATCTTGGCAGAGGAATCACCACCAGTGTTTGTAATTTCCACAGTTCATTTCTCTCTGCACCACTTATCGTTTATTGCATCACAACACAAACTCACAGAGACACTAACTGGCTCCTCCCCTGGCATTATTTTACTGCATTGCAACTTATGGTTCCACATTTACTTAACTTTCTTTCCACCCACACAAGTGCTAAGAAGGGAGTAAAAAAGAAACGATTGCATCTAATGACCACCTTCTCATAAATATCAACCCAGAATACTCATTCTTAAGAAACACATGCATTCTTGCCTTAACTGAGGACTGAAATAACAAAATAACAGAACCTTAAGCACCCTGATGGAAATGTACAGTATGAATTACATCCATCTATCTATACACACATATAGACACTCATATGTATATACAGTATATACATACAAATGATAATAACTATACCAAAATGTGCATATTTAACACAGTTTTAAAAAGCCAGTAGATCATGGTATAATACAATTTATTTCCACTAGTGAATGGCACAAATGGAGAAATGCAAAGGAGGTGTTTCAAGTACAATAGTCATTTTTTCACAGGTGAAAATAAACAGTATTATTCCAGTGTCCAACACAATGTATTCTATAAAAGTTTAAAATGCCAGACATTTAGTACTTAAAGAAGTAGAAAGTTACTAAAGTCAGCCTTACGGTCTGAGAAAGATACTCATAGAGTTTTCGATTTGGGGATGGGGGGGTGAGGAAAAATAGGGAGGAGTGTCAAGGACCGTTTTAGTGTACTGAATGGTCTTGATGTCTAGGTAGCTGAAAATCATAATGACTTTGCTAAAAAGTTCAATTTATCAATAAACCCTTGGCCTTGGGTACCAAGCATATTATACCTGTAGGGTGGTTCAAACGCAGGACTATTCATCTCTAGGCATAGAAAGGACTAAAAGGACTGGCAGCTCTAAATAAAAACAATATAAACACATTTTCCAGCTAACATTCTCTATATCATGAAAATACTTTCAGATCCTATAATTTGGGGTTAGAGCTAACTTTAATAAGAAGAGAAAAAGTATGTGCAAAAGGAAGGAAACCCAATTAGGAATAATATATTTCAAGGTATGAGGTTTTGCATTTTTAAAATGCTAACTTAAAAAATGGGAGAGACAGTGAACACAAGAAACTTTTTACTGCCAAGCTCTGGATACCAGATATAGCATTTACAACGTCTGATATGCTGGACAAATTTCCCATACTTTTTATTTTCTTAAATACATATATACCAAGTGAACACCAACACTGGGGAGGAGGTAGTATTAATTTGATCAAATGTTGACATTTGTACACTGACTCAGAAAGTGCCTGCTTCTTTCTTTAGGATCTCTCAAAACTTTTCATATTTTCCTGCTACAAGCTTTACTCTTTGATGATTCCTACCATGTATGAGATTCCTCAGAAGTCAGATCACACAAACCAATTAAGTGAAATTATTTTTGCAAACTATAAATATTTTAATTAAATTAACTTAATGGAATAATCCAGGTATAGTCATGACCTACATGTAAAACTGGCTGTCATGCAATTCAATCAGAAATCAGATAGATACAAAGCCCTACTGGACAGACATGCGGAGTCAGTACTCAATCACGATTTTAAAAGTATATATGAACTCAATAACTCGATTTGATGAAGTCCACAAGTAGACTCTAGCATGTATCACGGGTAGTATTTTGGATTTTAAAGAGTTTCGTACGCAAAACTGATCTGCTTCCATATTCCACCCCCTCCAGTAGTACAGATTGGCCAGACTGAATGATAGTTTTTTGAAATATATAAAATTCCATTACATTTTTGGACATTTAATTAATTCTAAAGAGCTCTCCTATCATTTTCCTCCAAACAGTTATATATCTCAGTTTGTTTGAAATACGGTAATATTTTAATGCCAGAAAAGAGAGATTCAGAAAATCAGAAGCCCCTTTCATTAGACAGGACAAGTGCATGTTATATTCACCTAATAACTAGTGATCGTGAGCATGGTCAAAAGGACAATGTATCATAGTGTTATCTGAAACACTGCCTAAACTGAGTGTGAATTCTACTGTTACCTTGGTTTTTTAAAAATTTACATTAAATGGGGCGCCTGGGTGGCGCAGTCGGTTAAGCGTCCGACTTCAGCCAGGTCACGATCTCGCGGTCCGTGAGTTCGAGCCCCGCGTCAGGCTCTGGGCTGATGGCTCAGAGCCTGGAGCCTGTTTCCGATTCTGTGTCTCCCTCTCTCTCTGCCCCTCCCCCGTTCATGCTCTGTCTCTCTCTATCCCAAAAATAAATAAACGTTGAAAAAAAAATTAAAAAAAAAATTTACATTAAAATATTATTTTTTCTTCCAGTTACCTTTAAATGAATGCCAGAAACTCCTAAAGGGGAGGCTTCATGGAGATTGGGCTGACATACCTGGGGAAGACTTAAATTTGGTTGAGAAAAACCAAGATTTCAACAGTGATAGATTACTGTTTGGTCATCACTCAGGTCTAGGTGTCACTGAGTGAGACTTAGGGAATTCTAACTTGGAGTCCTCTGACCACATGAAAATGAGGACCCAGAGTTAGTAGCAAGGGTTCTTCAAGACAACTGGGGAGGGGGCAGGGCAATAACTTGTAAGAAACTCTGATCTGTCACTGGGAAGGACATTTTTTTTCCTTCAAGTCATACTCATAGCTCCTTAACCACCTTCAACTCAATTTCCACACTGGGTGTGGAATGCCAAGGAACATCTGACTTTTAGCATTGGGTTGATCCTTCATTGCAAAACATAAAACAAAACAAAACATGCCCCTCTCTGGGGGAAAAAAAAAAGTTAGCTTTCATTAAGAGATTCCCTGACCACTATAACTTACTTAACCTTTTTTTTTTGTCTTTTTTAATTTGCCAAACTTGATAGTTCCTTTTCAGTAGTACTTTAGCACTCAGGCTAGAGACTTCTGGAAGTGGTGTTTCCTACTGTGTGATGTTAACATGATGCCAAATGGTCACTAAGTCTCAAGGAACTAAAAGTTTCTAAAGTATTGCAGCAACAAAAACAGCCAAAAAAAAAAAAAAAAGAGAGAGAGAGAAAAGAAAAAAAGGACCTGCACATGCAGCAAAATCTACAGTGGTGATGAGGATTAGTCAGCAGCTGGTAAAGTCATTGGCTCAGTGACTCCTGGTTCACTATGGCAACTAAATATTTAAATAATTGGCTATTCTACTTGTAAACAGGAAATCCCATAAGCCAAAAGGGGGAGGATAATCAAATTATGTCTATGTAGTGTAATGAGAATTCCAATGGATGGCAGTTTGCAAATATGGCATCCTTCAAATACCTCTGGCATTTGATTTATATTGGCTATATGTCTGTTTTTGTACAAAGTAAAAGTACTGTTTGGGGTCTTGGGAGTTACAGAGCTTAGCTAGGATGAGATATCACAGTAAAAGCAATAAAACATTAGGATATATAGGCTTCATCTCCTCACTCTGCTGCTGAACATACCCACCACATGAACTTTCAGGGGCCTCTCTCACCTTCCAGTCTCCCCTTTGAAGGCTCACAGGTTTGTTGATGCAATTCCCACACAACTTGTGATCTCCTGAAGCACCTCCATCTCACCATGCCACAAAGAAGGCACAATTGAACGGACAAAACAAAAACAAAAACTGACAAACCTATGCAGCATTCAGAAAAAGAACTAAGTTGTTTTCTACTCTCTGTAAAAGTCAATGCAACCCTTTAGTGTTCGTGAATTTCTACTCTTTTACTCCAAATGAGGCTGAGAAGTCAAGACCAATTTAATAAAGAAAATACACTGGTGAGGGGATACAGGTGTGTTTCCATAATCACTTGGCTCAACATATGCTGCCTGCCTGCTGTGAGTGGCTCATAAGAATTTGGGGTGTGGGGAAGGCTTTAGATCTTTTCACAAATTTCTTAGAATACAGTAGCCCCAAAGTGATGACTCACGCCACTATGCTGTATTCTATTTTTGCAGTGTTCAAAAATTACCCCCAATCTAGCCAATTTCTTTTTACATACACACAATTCCCCCTTTCAAAATTTTTCCAGAAGTTAAAGAACAAAACAAAACCCGGCAGCCAAATGCTATGACATCTCAATTAGTAAACACAAAACAGAATGCTTTACAAAAATGAATAAAATATACCATATGCACTCAGCGTCCACACTGTAGTACCCAAGTGAGGAGGCTGCTGTGATGATGTCTGTAGGCAGTTTCTTTTGGCAGACAGCTCCAGCGGAATTGCCACTCTCAATTATTAAGTTATGTATAAGACATGTGTGACCCATTGGATATTTGTGAAGTGACACTCGTGCTTCTGCTCATGCCCTGCTCTGTCCGTCCCCCAGAAGCTGTCCGCCTCAGAGCCTGAGGGCTATTGCGGACTCCCATACTGCTACCTCGGGGTACCCCTTGCATTGGCCCTGAAGGGTGACCCCATGGTTGGGGTCCACCTTGCATTGGATGGCCCCAAGCCTGTGGTGGGCCACCCATGGGATGACCCCAGTGAGGTCCTGGACCCCCAGTAGGATTATGAGACCAACCAGAAGCTCCCGGGTAGCTGTGGCTAAATGCCTCAGGGGAAAGATTGGAAAGGACCATGTTACTAAAACCTAGTCTCATGCTTTCAGAGTCAAAAGCTTCAATTTCTCTGGCTTGGCGCTCCAACAGACTTCTTATTCGTTCTGTGCGTTCATTCTGCAAAGCCAACATCTCTTCCTCAATCTGTTTGGGGTTGGGGAGGAAAACAAAAAAAAAAAGGTGATTTACTTAAAAGAAAATCTATAAATTAAGGAAACAGTAATTACTCAGCTTTGAAGTGAATCATAAAATAGTTCATTCTGGCTATTTTATGGATGTATGTTTAAAGTTAAAAAAAATTTTAACATTTATTTATCCTTGAGGGAAAGAGAGAGTGTGAGTGGGGGAGGGGCAGAGAGAGAGGGAGACACAGAATTTGAAGCGGGCTTCAGGCTCCGAGCTGTCAGCACAGAGCCCGATGTGGGGCTTGAACTCACGAGCCGCAAGATCATGACCTGAGCTGAAGTCGGATGCCCAACTGACTGAGCCACCCTAAAGTTTTTTTTTTTTTTTTTTTTTTTTTTTTTTGAGAGAGAGTGCAAGCAAGCATGCATGTCAGTGGGGGAGGGACAGAAAGCAAGGGAGAGAGAATCCCAAGCAGGCTCCACGCTGTCAACACAGAGCCCAATGCAGGGCTCGATCTCATGAGGTCATGGTGAGATCATGACCTGAGCTGAAACCAAGAGTCAGATTTTTAACCAACTGAGACACCCAGATGCCCTGCACATTTAAGAATTTAAAGAGATGTGGGGCACCTGGCTAGTTCAGTTTGAAGAGTATGTGATTCCTGATCTCAGGGTCATGAGTTCCAGACCCACACTGAATGTAGCGATTACTTAAAAATAAATAAATAAAAACTTAAAATTCTATAAAGAAATTAAAGAAATGTACTCTAGGAATCATGTACAATTTATTTTTTTTAATGTGTAAGATCACGTTCTTTTTTAAAAATTAAATTAGGGATGCCTGGGTGGTTTAGTCGGATTAAGTGTCTGACTTCAGCTCAGGTAATGACCTTACGGTTATTGGGTTCAGCCTCGTGTTGGGCTCTGTGCTGACAGCTCAGGGACTGGAGCCTGTTGAATGTTGAATAAACATTCAAAAAACATTTTTTAATTAAATTAGATGATTTTATATTTAATATAGTTGATGTTACATTAGTTTCAGGTTAAAATCAAGTTCTTTTTTTTTTTTTAATTTGGTTTTTAATGTTTATTTATTTTTCAGAGAGAGAGACAGAGTGTGAGCAGGGGAGGGGCAGAGAGAGGGAGATATAGAATCCAAAGCAGGCTCCAGGCTCTGACCTGTCAGCACAGAGCCCGATGCAGGCTCAAACTCATGAGCCATGAGATCATGACCTGAGCTAAAGTCAGACACTTAACTGACTGAGCCACCCAGACACCCCAAAGTCAAATTCTTTTTTTTTTTTTTTAATTTTTTTTTTCAACGTTTATTTATTTTTGGGACAGAGAGAGACAGAGCATGAACGGGCGAGGGGCAGAGAGAGAGGGAGACACAGAATCGGAAACAGGCTCCAGGCTCTGAGCCATCAGCCCAGAGCCCGACGCGGGGCTCAAACTCACGGACCGTGAGATCTTGACCTGGCTGAAGTCGGACGCTTAACCGACTGCGCCACCCAGGCGCCCCGCAAAGTCAAATTCTTAAAAGCAAAGGCAGGGGTGCCTGGCTGGCTCAGTTAGTACAGCAGGTGACTCTTGAGTTCAAGCCCCATGCTGGGTGCAGACACTACTTTAAAAAAATAAATCAAGGTAATTATCATAAATGGCTATTAAATTCATTAGGTAAAAAAATGAATGAAAAAAACGTGGGTAAGAGGAAACTGGCCCTATCAGACATCCCATAATGTCACTCTAATAAAATATGGTATTGGTGTGAAACAGATAATTAGTAAAACAGAATGAAGATCTCAGTTTGCAGGCTTTTAATGCAAGACAAAAGCAGTACTTAATTTAATGGGAAAAAAAATAATGCAAGCACATTGGCTATTATTTAGAAGGAAATGGAACCCCATCTTAATACCATATTCTAGACAGACCAAAACTTTAAGTGAACACAAACAAACCAAAAAACCTAAAAAGTTTTCATTAAAAAGTTAGAAGATTCTATGTAGCTAAAGATTCATAGCTGGGTAGCCATCATCATCAGTTCTGAAAAACTGGAAGGTATTACAAATAAAGATAGTTGGCTGTATATGATTTTTTTAATATTAAAAAATACATAATAGTCAATAGATAATGAAAAAAAAAGGTTGATAGAGAACTCTTGAATGATCAGATGGACAAAACCTGAACCCACTGATCAATATTAATATCACTTAAAAGTGAGACAACTAGGGGCGCCTGGGTGGCGCAGTCGGTTAAGCGTCCGACTTCAGCCAGGTCACGATCTCGCGGTCCGTGAGTTCGAGCCCCGCGTCAGGCTCTGGGCTGATGGCTCAGAGCCTGGAGCCTGTTTCCGATTCTGTGTCTCCCTCTCTCTCTGCCCCTCCCCCGTTCGTGCTCTGTCTCTCTCTGTCCCAAAAATAAATAAATGTTGAAAAAAAAATTAAAAAAAAAAAAAGTGAGACAACTAGACATTATGTATCTCTTGATGTGATGCAAAAGGAAGTACACAGTAACCCTTATGAAAATTACCTGCAAAATTTTTTGAAAGAAAAGAAAGTTTAATCTAAATATTATCATGCCTCCAGATTTAATTACCAGTTTACAGGAAATATGAAGTAAAGGAGACAGGAATACATTAAATGACACCACAAAAATGAAATAAGTCAAATTCATATGTGAGAATTCCTACAGAGTAAATGATCCAATCCTCAGTAAAAAAAAAAAAAGGGGGGGGGGCAGGAGTGGTTACAGACTAAAAGACTTAAAAGATAATTAACCAGAGGTGCCTGGATGGCTCAGTTGGTTAAGCAGTCAACTCTTGGTCTTGGCTCAGGTCATGATCTCACAGTTTAGGAGTTCAAATTCCATGTCAGGCTCTGCACTAGTGGCACAGAGCCTGCTTGGGATTCTGTCTCTCCCTCTCTCTGCCCCTCCCCAGCTCACTCTCTCTCTCTCTCTAAATAAATTTTAAAAACTTAAAAAAAAAAAATTAACCAAATGCAATGTGTAGACTCTGTCTGGGCCCCAATCCAAATAAACCAACTTAAGACATTTTTGAGATGAAAGGGGAAACTTAGGCATGGACTGAGTATTAAACAATATTAAAATTTTATTATGAATTTTCTTAGACATCACAATGGAATTATCATTATGTTAAATTCAAAAAGTCTTTACCTATATTTAGGAGTCAAATGATGGTATGCTGAAATTTGCTTTAAAATACTCCAGACATTCTTCCCCACCTCCTGCCTCCACCACATAAAGCTGTGCGTGTGGAGCAGGGGGATAGATAAGAAAAAATTAGCAAAATATTAATAACTGTTGAAGCTGGGTGGTGAGTACTTGGGGATTTCATTGTACTAATTCCTACTTGTGTATGTTTGAAAATTTCCATAAACAGTTTTTAAAAGATAAAAAGAGATAAAGGAGCATTAAATCAGATATCAAGGTATTTGATGATTTAAGCCAATAGTCACTTCTCTGCAGAACTTTAATTCAACAAATGTTTAGTTCTTATGTATCAAGTTTTCAGAAGTACCCTTTTTAAAGAATATGAAGTTTAGCATGGGAGACACATGCAAATACAAAATCTCAATAGAATGTGGTAAGACATAATAACGAATTTATGAGGTACAAAAATAAAAAGGGATGGAGTGCTTCACTCTATAAGGGAGAGAGACGAGGGCAAAGTATTCTCAGAGGAGGTGGCAGAAACTGGATTCTGAAGGAAGAAAACAGATTTATCAGGAAGACAAAGGGGAGGAAAAGATATTTTCAGCAGAAGGAACACGTGCAAGGGCACGAGAAAATGATAAAGTAATAATTATTATGGCCAGATGGATTCCAGTAAGAAGAGTATGAAAATTATTGAACATTCTAAGTACTAAAGTGTTACAAAGTTTTACACTAAGCATTTCATACCAAGGCTGAAGAAGAACTTAAGATTACACATGGATGCTTTTTCTGAGGGAAAGACATCAAATTGTTAACTGTGGTGATTTGAATGGTGGGACTAAAGACATCTTAATTTCTATTTATGTTTTTCTAAAGTTGTCAAGTTGTTTTTTTAAGTTTTTTTTTTAAGGTTTTATTTTTAAGTAATCTCTGCACCCAACATGGGGCTTGGACTCACACACAACCTGGAGATCAAGAGTCGCATGATCTACTGAGTCAGCCAGGTGCCCCTAAGCTTGTCAAGTTTTAAGAAAAATGATTGTGAATTTGTAAAATAATTTTCCACTTTTACTCTCTTTATATAAAATACCTGATTCATATAGAATTTACATATCTCTAAGGATTCAAAGAACTTCAAATTTTTCTTTTAAATATTTTTATGTAAAACTTTCAAAAATCCATTTGCTAAAAGCATTTATTTTAATTCAAGGGATCTAATAAATGATGAGAATGTGCTAAGTATATAACTGATCCAGATGTCTTGCATATTATGAAGGAAACTCATGACAAAAGCATTAAACACACTGGAGTACCTGGGCAGCTCAGTTCATTAGGCATCTGACTCTTGGTCTCAGCTCAGGTCTTGATCTCACAGTCATGAGCTCAAGCCCCACACTGGGCTCTGTGCTGGGTGTGAAGCCTACTTAAAAATATATACGTATCTATGTGTCTGGTTGGGGTACAGCAACCAGATACATATATACATATATATTTTACACATTAATGTTTCTCAACCTTTTATCTAGTAAGCACAGTTTTAATTTTGATTAGTTTTGTCACTTAAACTCAGAACATTTTTCAACAAGATAAAAATGAAAACTAAGATTTGTGATGGGCTATATTAATTCCCATTTCTTTTAAAAGATGTTAGTTATTTCTGAAAATTAGAAAGGTGGTTTCACTGGGTAGATAAGAATTACCATAATTAAGACTTTTGAAAGGCTCTTCCAACCCATCTCCTTTGAAATTAAATGTGATTATTTTTATGTTCCACAAAGAAAGGTCCTATAAAATATTCCAATTGTCGATTCTTACTTAAAAACTACTAACCATGTTTTTGGTGCTGTGACATACTGAGGGGTGCCTGGGTGGCTCAGTCGGTTGAACATCCAACTCTTGGTTTCCACTCAGGTCATGATCTCACAGTCATGAGATCGAGCCCCCACGTCTGGCTCTGCACTGGGCGTGAAGCCTAAGATTCTCCCTCTCCTTCTGCCCTCCCCCTCAAAAAATTATAAAAACAAAAACAACAATAACAACAACAAAACAAACAAACAAAAAACACCTACCAACCATGTTGTTGATGCTGTGAAATACTGAAAGAAAATTCAATGATAATAAAAAAGCCCATTTATACTTCAGAGACACTGCCACTTTTCATGCATGTATAAAATTCACATGGAATTTAACATTTATAGTTATGTTATCTTGCTGTTTATGTAAAGGAAAAGCAAGAAAAGTTGTAATAAGACCTCATGTGAGTCAAGTGCAGCTTACATTGTTGGTGTCTCAACAACCTAAAGGAACAATTTTTGGTTCATTTGGAGGCTGAAAGCAATCTTCAAAGAGAATTGTTATTCATCTATAAACAACTCTGATTTCACCTCTATTTTCAGATGACTGTTTCTTATCTGTACAACCAGTAGGTACAAAGTGCAGAAAAATAGCTGTTAAAAATTTTCAAAGTTTTTGTAGAGAAGGTACATGGACTTGGTAGTTGCCAAATGACCCAACTACTTTATAGTCATGCACTTCACTTGAAATGTAAACATTAGCCCTAAAAATCAAGCAGCAACTCAAAGCACTATTTATCACCCTATTGTTCTTTTATTATTAATACTAAATTATCATAAGCACTTTCCATTATCAAAGTTAATATTTTAAAAATAAAAAACAACCAATTGGGGCACCTGGGTGGCTCAGCTGGTTTAGTGTCTGACTCTTGATTTCGGCTCAGGTCATGACCTCACGGTTGGTGGGTTCGAGCCCTCATCGGGCTCTGCACTGACAGTGCTGAGCCTGCTTGGTTGGGATTTTCTATCTCCTTTCTCTCTCTGTCCCTCCCCCACTCGCTTGCGGGCACTCTCTCTCAAATAATAAAAAAAAGAAGAATCACTCAAATCTCTGTATTAATATTGCCACTACTAGCATTCTTTCAATTCACTTTTAAGTATAATTTGTCATTTTTATTTCATTCAACATATCATAATCATTTCCCCATATTAATACTGTCTTTGTAGCCATCATTTAAATGGCTGAGTAAGAAGATTTCATTGGCTTGGCCATAATTACTTAATTATATCTCTATTTCAGATGGTTAAGTGTTTTCTTTTTTTCTTTTTTTCCCATGTTTTTATTTAAATTCCAATTAGTTAACATACAGTGTATTAGTTACAGATGTAGGATTTAGTGATTTATCACAACACATGCCATCCTTAATCCCCATCACCCATTTAATTCATCCTCCACCCCTGCCTGAGCCCCCATCCTTCCAGTAACCTAGATGGTTAGGTGTTTTAAACCATTATGAAGTATGTTATAGTGATAATTTTTATGTATATTCCCCCCTATATTTTGGATTTCTTTTCCTTAGACTAAATTCTGAAAATATTAAATACTTAACAATTCTAAAGCTCAACATATACATCCAAACTGCTTTTCAAAATGGACTAACAGTCCCCCTACGCAGTAAGAGTAGTACTCCTACGCAGTAGGAGAGTACCACTGCGTCTTTACCAGTGGGTACAGTTTTACACCAGGCTTTGCAGAACATGTAAACTTTGGTTCATATATTGAAATAAGACTGTACCTAAGTAAGATACTAATTAGCACTGTTTAACTCTCAACCACTAGGTGGAGCTATAAAAATACAAATATATTATAATAGTACCTATATTTCTCTCACAACACTATTTCTACAATACTATAGAAGTTTTCCTTTTAGTGATAATTTTGAAGCATAAGAGACAGAACTTTACAGTGAATTTTAAATATTCAAATTGGAATATTTATGAAATCTGTACATAGTACAAACTAGATTTTTCTTTTTTCTTTTGAAGTTTATTTATTTGAGAGAGAAAGAAAGCACAAGCAGGGAGGGGCAGAGAGAGGTGAGAGAGAGAATCCAGAACAGAGCTTGATGTGGGGCTCAAACCCACAAACTGTGAGATCATGACCCGAGCAAAAATCCAGAGTTAGACACTTAACGAACAGAGCCACCTGCTTATCCCCAAACTAGATTCTTCTCAAATTTTATATGTGTTCTATGTTTCTCATCTTGAGTGAGAAACATAACTGAGATAATTTATAGAAGCAAATACCTCTCAAAGAAGCCAGCAATAAAGACAGCTGTCCCAGGGAAATAGTAACATCTTAGTGGATTTTTTGAGACTATTATTTTTTAATATAAGAAGGCATTGTATTTTTATCCAGAAACAATGACAACTTTCATTAGGCAAGACCATTAGAAAAGTATTCACTTACAATGGACCTAAGACTATACCAGCTGTTGGGAGCTTATGGCCCAGGAATTCTTGAACATAGCTCTGAATCCTAGATACAACTGATATTTTACTACAGTTGCCCCTTAAACAACACAAGTTTGGATGACATGGATCCTCTTACATGTGGGTTTTTTCAGTAAATATAGTACAGTACTGTAAATGTATTTTCTCAATAATATATTTTTTTTCTCGGGGCACCTGGGTGGCTCTCAGGTGGTTGAGCTTCCAACTTTGGCTCAGGTCATGATCTCACTGGTTCATGAGTTCAAGCCCACCTTGGGCTTGCTGCTGTCAGCACAGAGCCCATTTCAGATCCATTGTCTCCTCTCTCTCTGCCCTTCCCCCATTTGCGCTATCTCAAAAATAAACATTAAAAAAATATATATTTTATTTTCTCTAGCTTACTTTACTGTAAGAATACAGTATACAATACATATAACATACAAAATATGTGTTAATCGACTATGTTATCGGTAAAGCTTCCGGTCAATTTTATAATGTGTAAGAAAAGTTATACATAAATTTTCAACTGCATGGGTTGTCACAACCCCTAACCCCTGCGTTAAGGGTTAACTATACTTCTAAAAACAAATACTTTTCCTCTCAAAATTCTGCCCATCACCCTTACCCTAAAACATACATAATACTCACACACAGCTCTACTACCTTAAAGGATGAAATGAATTTGGAGATTATAGTTCTGTTCTTTAATATATCTGACAAAGAATAAGTAAAAAATAAGTGAAGATACATCTAGAAGTAACATTTTCACCCTGATTTTTCACCTGTGTGGAACTGGTTTTACCTCCTGCCCTCTAATAATCTTCCACCAATCTGTACAGTTACAGGCCCAAGATGTACAAGTATATATTCCTGATGCTTCATTCCTGCTTCTCCCAGGCAATTACTAATGTTCTGTTTCTTCACTATCCAAGTTTTTCTCCAATCTCCTTTTTTACCCCCAATCTCCTTAACGAGAGAAGGTACACAAAAGAAGTGAGGAACACGGAGCCAGAACTACTCTCTCCCAATTCAACTGTCTTCACAGAACCCCATATTCCTTTTTCTAGCAATTACTACTTAATTATATTTCCTTGATGTTTAGAACTCAATAATTATAAGGTTAATTATTGGATCAATAATTTTATTTATTTTTACTTTTTAAGTGTTTATTTTTTAAGAGAGAGAGAGAGAGAGAGAGAAAAAACCACGGAGGGGCAGAGAGACAGAAATCCCAAGCAGGCTCCACGCTTTCAGAGCAGAGTCCAATGCAGGGCTCGAACTCCAAACCCTGAGATCATGACCTTAGCCAAAACTGAGAGTCAGACACTTAACCAACTGAGCCATCCAAGCACCCAAATCAATAATTTTAAAGAAAAAGCAAAACGCTACCAAAACTAGAATTAAGGAAATATGGTATTATGAAAACAATCCAATGCCACCTCTGTCAATATGAAAAATATGTATAAAATGCTTTTGCTAAAAGCAAACACTAGCACAATTACCTTCCTCATATTACTCATACCTTTTGTTCTAAGAGTGCCCTGCGGAGGGAGACCCTCTGTTCAAGCTCTCGAAGCTCCCGATCATGTTGTGCCTCGGCTTGCATCTTGATTTTGCTCTGATATGCATTCAATAGCTCCAGTTCCTGCTGCAGCTGCATCTTTAAAACCTGGCATTCTGCTTCCTGTGCTTCATCCAAACGTAGCTGAAAGAGAGAAGGAAAACAAATATATCCAACTGTGAGCTCTCTATTCCTGACCTATGGAAAAGAGGAGGTGTGAAAGAAGACAGACTACTCTTTTGTAGGATATACAATTGTTCTCTCTCATGTCGTGGAATGAACATCTCTGAAAAAGGAAGGTCTAGTAACCTTTATCTTTAGGAAGGTAAAGCTATCATCAGCTCTTTGGAAGATGGCTAAATAACCATATTTTTCTTAAGAAAAATCTAGAATCTGATCAGGTAATATGTATGACTCTGAATGTTTTCTCTCCAATGAAAATAACTATAGCATAGGGACCAGCAAACAGCTTACTGGCCAAATCTGGGCAGCAGCTGGGTTTTTTTGCTTTCATTTTTTTATATACTCCACTAGTTAAGAATGGTTTTTACATTTGAAGTAGTTACATTTTAAATAGCTATATAAGTATCCCCATAATATCCTCAAATTTGCTTCCTGGCCTACAGACTCTAAAATACCAAAAAAACATGTTTATAAAACTTATATAGAAAATATTTTACATTTCTATTCAAATGTTACCATTTGGATTCCAAATATAGTACTACTTTTTGCCCACTACCTAACAAAGCTGCTGTTCCAATCTTGATATGCTTTTTGGATAAGCCTCAACAGGCATGTGCTAAGAGGCACTGGCAGAGAGCTTGTTTAAAACTTAGTGTCTAGGGACACCTGGGTTGCTCAGTCAATAGAGCATTCAACTCTTGACTTCGGCTCAGGTCATGAACTCACGGGTTGTGAGTTTGAGCCCCAAATCAGCATCTGTGCCCATAGCGCAGAGCCTGCTTGGGATTCTCTGTCTGTCTGTCTCTCTCTCTCTCTCTCTCTCTGCTCCTTCCCCACTCATGCTTGTGCTTTCTCTCTCTCAAAATAAATAATAAACTTAAAAAACAAAACAAAAAAATTTTATGTCTGGGGCACCTGGGTGGCTCAGCTGGTTAAGGCTCTGACTCTTGATTTCAGCTCAGGTTATGATCTCACACTTCCTTAGTTCCAGCTCTGAGGGGGGTGGATCTGCTGACATCTCAGAGCCTGCTTGGGATTCTCTCTCTGCCCCTCCCCAACTTGCGCGTGTGCGTGCGTGCGTGTGTGCGTGCGTGTGTGTGTGTGTGTGTGTGTGTGTGTCTGCATGTGCATGCGCATATGTACTCTCTCTTTGACTCTCTCAAAATAAAATTTAAAAAAAGAGAAACTTCTCTGGGAAGACTTTAATTAAAAAAATTTTTTTAAAAATGTTTATCTATTTTTGAGAGAGAGAGACAGATAGACAGACTATGAGCTGGGGAGGGGCAGAGAGAATCTGAAGCAGGCTCCAGGCTCTGAGCTGTCAGCACAGAGCCTGATGCGGGGCCTAAACTGATGAACCGTGAGACCATGACCTGAGCTGAAGTCAGATGCCCAACTGACTGAGCCACCCAGGCGCCCCCTTAATGTTTGTTTATTTTTGAGAGAGACACACACAGGGCATGAATAGGGGAGAAGCAGAGAGATAGGAAGACAAAGGATCTGAAACAGGCTCCAGGCTCTGAGCTGTCAGCACAGGGCGGAAGCAGGGCTTGAACTCAGGAACAGGAATGGTAAGATCATGACCCAGGCCGAAGTCAGACACTTAACTGACTGAGCCACCCAGGCACCCCTCCCTGGAAAGATTTTAAAAATAAATAAATAAAACTTCATGTCTGAATGTATCAATAAGAATTCTGCATACATCATGCATACTTCCAAGCAATGCTCAGAGAAGGAAGAATATGGACCATCACCATTATTTCCCAAGCTGCAGGAGAAGTATCATTTCTAACTAGTATTTTAATTGCTGGGATTTCATTGCTGGTAGAAAGAAAGGAGCACTAAATTTATTTTGTCTAAATAAAACAAACTCACAGCTTGTGTGGAGAGCATTTCATTAATGCTGTGGTCATACTGCTCAGCCAAGATGGCTAACTTCCGGGTCTGCTCCTCCTTGAGCCGTTTCAGAACAGCTTTGTGCTCGCTCTTTGGTGTAGTCTCCAGTAGGTGATTTCTTAATGCTTTGTACTGTCTGGTTTGGATTTTACAGGTATCCTGAAACTGCTTTTTTATTTGGAGTTCTTTAGACTGGGAAGAAAAAATAGATGCATATATTTTTAACATTTGGCATTTGGTATACCTTAGGTTTTCATTAAAAGAAAGGCTACTAGGAGAAAGGGAGAAAACAAAAAGGTCAGATCGTAACGTTGCAGGTACTTTTACACTTGGCTATTGGGTCAAACCACTGGATTCTATGCATTTTTATAACAAAAGCTCTAATTTAAAACATTAAAATATCAAGAACCTCATTTATCACAGGACTTCAAGCAATAGTCATAATTTTGTTAGTAAATTTAGTGATGAGCAGGTATTAAAATTAGCTTTGATTATGGTATATATTAATGACAGAAAATCAAATTTCTTCTCATTGATTACATGTAGCAAAGTATTTTATTGGCCAGACAATATTTTATCAAATCTCTGAGGCAGAAAATAAGCATATTTACTCTCTTCCATATCTGAAACACTTTGCTTCAATTTCTTTTAATAACAACCTCAACTCTAACTACATAGTGTATGACAGATTCCACAAAAGCAGGATATTAGTAACAGACTAATATTGCTTCATACGATTCTTTTCCTTAAGGAAATAAACTAGGTAGAAACATCCTTAGCAAAAACTTGAAAGTCAGTCAAGTTAACTAACCTTTTAAAGGTCAAACAAAAGTTATGGGATGAGGTGTTGGGCGGGGGGGGACTGGGCCAAATGGGTGATGGGCATTAAGGAAAGCGCTTATTGGGATGAGCACTAGGTGTTATATGTAAGTGACGAATCACTAAATTCTACTCCTGAAGTCATTATTACGCTATATGTTAACTAATTTGGATTTAAATAAAATTTTAAAATTTTAAAAATAATTAAAAAAAAATAAAGTCATGGGGCAAGGGAGAGGACATCCTTTCTTGGAGTGATAAGAGCCATGAGCTACATAAATATTTCTGAGATAAAATAATTGAGCTCCGAAACACAGAGTTTTGGCTTTAGTTTTTGCTAATCACTGAACTCAGGTTTTAATAAGATTTAACAAGATGAGATATAATTCTGTAAAGTATACTGAGTAAGCCTGTAAATGAGAATATATTCATTTACTACACTAAGGCAGAAACTACACTTGAAATTATTTTACCTAAATATAAATACTGCTAGATATTGATTGGTTGATTCAGTGTGCAACAAATGCACGTATTACACCAAAGTAAAACACTTGTCAAGGAACTATTCACCACCCCTTGTAATACTACAACCTCAAACAGCCCTTTTCCATATTTCACACCAACTGAGGCACTATGTCATAGTCATACACTTTATTCTGTGAAGGGTCAAGAATTGTCTAGCTAGAAAGCAAAACTCTTGCTTAGTAGAGACCAAGCAAAACTCTATGCTTGGTAGTACACCACACTTAAATGCTGTCGTTGGTTAACAAAATTCTTCCAACTTAGCTAGGAATCAAACAATACAATTTAGGCATTCTCTCCTGCCTCTGTATAACATTCGTTCTTTTAAAAGTTTTTATTTTTAGGGGCGCCTGGGTGGCGCAGTCGGTTAAGCGTCCGACTTCAGCCAGGTCACGATCTCGCGGTCCGTGAGTTCGAGCCCCGCGTCAGGCTCTGGGCTGATGGCTCAGAGCCTGGAGCCTGTTTCCGATTCTGTGTCTCCCTCTCTCTCTGCCCCTCCCCCGTTCATGCTCTGTCTCTCTCTATCCCAAAAATAAATAAACGTTGAAAAAAATATTAAAAAAAAAAAGTTTTTATTTTTAAAATATTATATCAAGAAAATTATCATTCTATATTAGCCTAATAAGAAAAAATAACTTGAAAATTTTTTCACATGAATAATACTAATACTTATAACCAAGAATAAACTGTATCCCTCAATACTAAACTCAAATGAAAACTAGAACATAGTTACAGTTGTTTCTAATCATTTAACACTATCATCTGGATGACAGATGAAGAAACAGCCGAGTAGGCAATTAAGTGTTTACCCAATCCATTTTACAGAAATGGTACCCCAACTCCAGCTTACGTAAGTACTCAAACTAAAGTCCCCCTAGTCCCCATTAAAGTCTTGAAGAAAGCTGAAAGAGACAACTATTACGATTTAGTCAAATAAAATTGGAATGACTTAGTGTTAAAATCTAGTCTGATTTGTTCAAATTGAGCAAGTAGATAGATATATATAACTAAGAAAGTATCGTGATTTTCTTCCCTACTAATGTAACAGAATGATTTCCTTTATGGAAAATCTTGAGCTCACTGGTCATTAAAGGAATCATTCTAGGGATGCCTGGATCATTCTAGGGATGGCTCAGTCAGTTAAGTGTCCAACTCTGGATTTCGACTCCGGTCATGATCTCTCGGTTATGAGACTGAGCCCCACATCGGGCTCTGTGCTGAGTGTGGAGCCTGCTCGGGATTCTCTCTTTCCCTCTCTCTCTCTGCCCCTCCCCTGCTTGCACACAAGTTTGTTAACTCTAAAAAATAAAGAAAAGGAGGCTTTCTATTCAAAGTCCATGACTATGAAATACTACTTTTTCCTCACTTCTTGTACAGTATCTGTAAAAATCAAATCTAGTGTTTATAAGCTTTCAAACTGAAAAGGCTCCAACAAGAGGAAACAGAAAGGAAGGGTTAAATATCAAACAACTACCTATTCCAAGTCTCAATGAAATGCAGTCATAACAGATTTATGGTATGACTATAGAAAACTCACAAGCTTTCAGTTTGGTTTACTTTTGGGTACTGCTGACTTTAAAATGATAACTGGGGTGCCTGCCTGGGTGGCTCAGTCGGTTGGGTGTCCGACTTTGGCTCCGGTCATAATCTCGTGGTTCATGAGTTCTAGCCCCACGCATCGCAGAGCCTGGAGCCTGTTTTGGATTCTGTGTCTCCCTGTCTCTCTCTGCCCCTCCCTTGCTTGTCTCTGTCTCTCTCTCTCAAAAAAAAAAAATAAATAAACATTTAAAAATAAATAAATAAAATGGTAACTAATCTTACAGACATGTTTTAAAAATCTTTTGGTGGGAAATTGTTCTGAAGACAAAGGTCTTCATTACAAAGACAAAACAAAGCTGAAAAATCATTATGAATTCCAGTTTTTCTAAGCAATGACTAATGAAGGTTATATGGGTAGTCAACACAAGTTACTCTTTAATTGATGTTAGTTATTTTGAAGACATAGCAAAGTGAAATTTTATCCTTCACAAGGAAAGGGTAAAACACTTTAATTCTGCTTCTATATCTCATTCAAGACAGCCTATTAGAATGGAGTTGGGTGGGAATCAGAGTTATGATTGGGTATAGATTTTAACATAGATTACCTCTGTGAATTAACTGCACTTCACTCCAGGACAGTTACTCAGGTAAGACAAAAGAACAGTTCTATAGTTAAATTATCAAATAAAAGGGGTCAGGGTAAAGTTTAAAAAGGAAATACTGTGGGATGTAGGCCTTAATGGATGTAAATAGGTACTACTATAGACAACAGCTTATGTAGTAGATGGTTTTGTTTTTGCTCATTAAGATTAATGTGATTGATTATATTCCTTCAAGTATTTATTACAAGTTACAAAATTTGAAAACATCCTAGAATTGTTAACTCTGGTTGATTCAGGGCTAGATCAGCTGGCTGGAGAGGCAGAGAGGGGGAAATCTTTATAATATACTTTGGTATATTTTGAATTTCATATTATATGAATGAGTTCCTGTATTCAAAATAAATACAAAATTTAAAGTCCTTTGTATTATATATCACCAACACTTGTTTTTCCTTATTTTGGAGAGGGAGGCATATAACAATTTGCTTTACCCTGATGTGCCAATTAAAAAAAATATTATACCTCCAACTACCTATGCCATGGTTTTTACCTACACTACCAAGCAAAGAAAGCAAGCAAGCAGACTGGGGGTAACACTGTGATGATTCCCTTGTTCCTCTTACAGTAAGTATAGATAATGAAGGGAGAGGGGATAAAAAAGCAGTTTTCATTCATTGCTTTTGTGCTGATTAAGAACTTAGTGCCTTTTCTGGAAACAAATCATATTTAGAGGAAATAAGATTCCAAAACTGTATTACTTGGGACAACAGTGAGAAGACAACAGGTTACCATGTTGACATGTAGACTGTAATATCAGCATTGCACATTTTGCGTACATTTAAAATAAGAATTTTGATTCAGGTTTATGGTACTTCCCACAGTCAAAAGTTTTGGTACGCTGCTGAAAAATACATAAGCAAAAAGTCTACAGCTATGGACACTCCACATTAAAACTAACCAAACATTCTTAAAATGAAAAAAGTTTATTCAAATTCTTTATGCCAGACCTCTTAGACTTCTACGGTTTACATGGATGCATTTTATCTCTTTTCCCCCTTTATCAAGAAGCTTAGGTTAAAGGGGTACCTTCAGACTCTTAGGCTGTTGTCGAACCTCCATGACATGCTTTCGCCTTAGTTCTCGTTCTCTTCGCTTGTTATATTCCAGCTGGTTTGTGAGCTCAGTCTGATGCTGCAATCTGATCAACTCACAGCGCATCTTCTGAATTGTGTTGAGGTGACGGAACTCCAGTTCTTGCATGGATTCATGTTGTCTCAGTAGCATGGCATGCTCTAAGTCCTTTTGAGTCTGCCTTTTATTTAACTCCTAATCCACAACACAAAAAGCAAAAGTATAATTTACTGCTGTATGATGCCTGGAAAAAAAAAATCCTAAGAAACAGAATAACCAAGAAATAGATGTAATCCTCTGATGTAATAATGGCTGCATCGTATTAGAGTTTTATAATATTTGCTGTAGTAAATAAACAATTAGCACATTTCCTTACACTGTTCATTTACTATTCATTAACACTACTTCATGCAGTGAGTTTAAAAGGTACCAAATCTATCTCAAGAGGTTTAATGTCCTCCCCTCTTTCCTTTCTTTATTGTTTTCTAGTTTTATATTTGAAGAGGGTTCACAAGTCATCCAGTGTATTTTTTCAGAGTATGCTATTCAAGTCTATTACATGCAGTATACCCAATGTAGTGTAGTGGTTAAAAACATGGACTGTAGAGCTAGGCTGCCTGTATTTTAAATCATAGCTCTGCTACTGATGAGCAGTAAGTCTTTGGGTTAGTTATTTAAACTCTTGGCTTCAGCTTCATCACTTCTCAAACGAAGATAATATAGCAATTTCGTAGATTTAATGCGAGGATGAAACAAGTTCATAAATGCGAAGTCCTCAGAATAATACCTAGCACATCATGCTCAATAAATTTTTTTCAGAATAAAAGGAACAAGTGTATCACATACAACAGACACACCCACACCCACACACACTGTAGAAGTGTAGAAGTGAAACTTGCCTCCTTTGCCCTTTCTCCAGAAGCCAACAGTTTGGTGCAAATGTTTCCGAAATATCCCCCCATGCTTATCATGACACATCTGTTATACAAAACCTACAGTTTTAAAACTGAATACCAATATACATTATAGGCCTGTAATGTGCTTTCTTCACCTAAAAATATAATGGACATACATCTTGACCAGATCAGTACATAAAGATCTTTTTTTTTTTTAAGTTTCAATGGTAAGGGGTGCCTGGGTGGCTCAGTTGGTTAAGTGTCCAACTTCGGCTCAGGTCATGATCTCATGGCTCATGAGTTAGAGCCCTGCCATCAGGCTCTGTGCTGACAGCTCAGAGCCTGGAGCCTGCTTCAGATTCTGTGTCTCCCTCTCTCTCTGCCCCTCCCCCACTCACGTTCTGTCTCTCTCTCAAAAATAAATAAACATTAAAAAAAATTTTTTTTAAGTTTCAAAAGTAAGCTACTGCTTTGCAATTCCTAATTTTTCCATTTTTCTGCTTTAAACAAATTTTCAATAAATATCCATGGCATGATAGATACATCATATAACCATGTTACTGTTTCTTTAAAAAAAAATTTTTTTTTAACGTTTATTTATTATTGAGAGACAGAGAGAGAGGCAGAGCATGAGCAGTGGAGGAGCAGGGAGAGAGGAAGACACAGAATGTGAAGCAGGTTCCAGGCTCCAGCTGCCAGCACAGAGCCCGATGTGGGGCTCGAACTCGCAAACCACGAGATCATGACCTGAGCCGAAGTCAGACGCTTAACCGACTGAGCCACCCAGGCGCCCAATGTTATTATTTCTTTAGGATACAGTCCCAGAAGTAGATTTGGTAAAAATATAGATGCATATTAAATTTTAAAACCTATTGCTGAATTATACTCCAAAAGGGCAGCATCAGTTTATACTTTATACTTACCAATACTGTCCATTTCCCCATGTTACCAGTCTTTTTAATTGTTCTTATCTAATTGATGCAACTGTTTTAATTTCAATTTCTTTAATTATTACTGAATTTGAACAGTTATGCTATACTTGAAGCTTATTTTAAGCCATCTTGGAAATAAATTTATCTATGTTCACAGTTATCCCTGATAAGAAAAAAAATTTTCATTTTTTTTTTTTTATTAAAAAAAAATTTTTTTTTCAACGTTTATTTATTTTTGGGACAGAGAGAGACAGAGCATGAACAGGGGAGGGGCAGAGAGAGAGGGAGACACAGAATCGGAAACAGGCTCCAGGCTCTGAGCCATCAGCCCAGAGCCCGACGCGGGGCTCGAACTCACGGACCGCGAGATTGTGACCTGGCTGAAGTTGGACGCTTAACCGACTGCGCCACCCAGGCGCCCCATTGTTTTCATTTTGATAAGAGTTTCTACAATAAATGTATGATTATAACAATGTGCTAAGTGGTAACACACAATTCATGGCACTCATTTCAGATCAAAAGGCATAAATCCAATTAACGTTCTCATATTTAAAAATTAATACTTCATTCATGGATAAATAATAAATATTATTTATTTAATAAATATTTATTGAATGCCTACTATGGGCCAGACACTAGGGATACAAAGACCTGTACAAAACCTATGACTTCACATAATTTCCATTCTAGCTGGGAAGAGAGACTTCCCCCAAAAAGTGTATGTGTAAGAGAAAAAAGTACAAAGAAGAACATTTAAAGAAGGGAGAGGAGAGAGAGCTAGCTATATAGATTGGGTATCTGGGGAAGAAGGATTTAGGCAGAGAGGATTAATGAGTGCAAAGGCCTTATAACTGAGATGTGATGGGACTTATTTCTGATTTCATATCACTCAAACATACCTCCCTGACAAGGTCCTGCTCCAAGTTATGGCGTCCAAGTAACATTCTTCGCTTGAAGCGACGGCACTCCAGCTCTAGGTATTGCCTCTGTCGTCGAAGAAGATTAGCCTCTTCCTCTGCTTGGAAATGTTGTATATTCTCCTTCTGCTTTGAAAGCCATTCTTGTTTTTCCTTTTTTGGGGTGCTCTGGTTTTCATTCAGTTCCTGGCAACAAAAAACCAACTCAGTTCAAAATACATAAAAATTGGGGTAGCTGGGTAGCTCAGTCAGTTGAGCATCCGACTTCGGCTCAGGTCATGATCTAGTGGTTTGTGAGTTTGAGGCCCCACATTGGGCTTGCTGCTGTCAGCCTGTGAGCAGAACCCATTTTGGATCCTGTCCTCCTCTCTCTCTGCCCCTCCCTCACATGCACTCTCCCAAAAATAAACAAATATTAAAAAGAAAGAAAGAAAGAAAGAAAGAAAGAAAGAAAGAAAGAAAGAGAAAAAAACATAAAAATTAACTACATGAAAGTAGTTAATGTAATATTTGGTAGCTGGTAAATTTAAATAAAAGTACTAAATTTGTGTTCTCTCTAATGCTCAAACAGGGCAATGACCTTAAGGAGTTAGGTAAATAGTTTCCTTTTTCTTGAGTTACCGGTGAATTAGGACAGGAAAAGAGAAAAATACATTAGAAAACATGCATACCTTTTGGTTTTGCATAACTACAAGTATGATGACTCAAAAGTACATAATAATTGGTAAATGAAGTAAAACATATCTTTCTTTAAATCCATCCCAAGAATAGACAGAAGGTGGTGCTTTCAGGGGAAAATCAAATGTAAATTAAAGTTAGGGCTACAATACAGTTATGTCTCAGTTGGTTTTTGACATTCTAAATATCAAGCTTTTGGCAAGATTACGGATGCACTCAATATAAAAGACTTGGAAATTAAATGGAAAATCAACAAAACCAGGGGAGAACAGAGACATTCTTTATGAGTGGTATTTAATATTTGGCATTATAATACCACTAAACAAATAAAAACCAAGGCTTTTCTACAGCACTGTATTTATTTTTAAAATTTATTTATTTTTGAGAGACAACAAGAACACACTTGTGCATGTGAGGGAGTGGGGCAGAGAGAAAGAGGGAGAGAAAGGGAGAATCCCAGGCTGGCTCCGCACTGTCAGTACAGAGCCTGATGCAGGGCTTGAACTCATGAACAGTGAGATCATGACCTGAGCTGAAATCAAGAGTCAGAACACTTAACCGACTGAGCCACCCAAGTGTCCCTCTATAGCATTTTAAATATCATCTTAGAAACTATCTAAATGAAATTGCATTTATATTGGGCAAGATGAGAACATTCATGATACACTCAATGAGACAAACCCTAGGATGTTAATACTAGCATATTTTCAACCTAAAAAAACATCAATATTGCAGAGAATACAAATCAGCCATCATTCCTAAGTGTAAGTTGATTTTTCAGAGACTACTAACCTTATGGTCCTTCCCCTGTTATTCAAGAAAGAGACCAATTCTTTCTAACTTTAGTTCACAAGATATTCAAACACATAAAAACAAACACATAAATTAGTAGTTCTCCAAAGAGGACATATATACACACACAGTATAGAAAGAGACAAGGAGAACACGGGCCACATTATACCCAAGGGTGTCTTTCTCAAAATCTTCTGCCAGGAAACTTCCCCACCAAAACTCTAGTATGTCCCTTCCTCTACACTGAGAATCACTATTCCAAATGAACACACACACACACACACACACACACAGAGGCATACATACATAAGTTATACACCTAAAAGATTATTTAAACTAATATATCCATTAACATTCAACTCTTACTGCACTGGGAAACTGCATGCTGTTGGATATTTATTTACAATTGGGAATCCTATTTATAATCTTTTCAAACCCAAAGTTCTAGTATAGAGTTTGACTCCTGTTATACAGAAAGAAATGTGCGGCTTTTTGTTTCACAGCTCACATATTTTTATTTCTAATCATTCAGTTACTTAATAAGTGCTTACAAAAGCTATTATAAATAAAATAACTTCTGTTGGCAGGAGACGATTCTTTTTAGACCCTACTCAACTGAGAATCTCAATCCACTGAAGAGTAACTGATTATAATCAATGTCTTCATTCAAACTGATATACATTTTATGGTGACAAAAAACAAACAAAAATTTTATCTTAGTGGCTCTATGAGTTGATCAACATCACATACAATCAGTAAGCAGACAACTGGCTTGAAAAAGTTTATAAAATAAGTACCTCCTTAAGCTGTTCCTTTCGAAGTTTATATTCTCTTTTCTGGGACTCCAAAAAACTATTTAGTTCTTTCTTCTGTTGAGCCTGAATATGTTGCTGAAATTTTTTCTCCTCATTGGCCATCACTTTAGCCTATAGAAATTTAGAAAATGGATCGAATTAGTTAAGTTGATACATTCAAAGCAACAGTTTAATAAGACATTACCAAGGAGGTAATTTTCAACCAAAAATAGAAAATCAACATTGCTTCTCGGCCTTTTGGCTAAGATCAAGTGATCAGCATTAAGTATTACCAAAATGAGAATACCCAACAAATTAATTTTTTAAAGTTTATTTATTTGAGAGAGAGAGAGAGAGAGAGAGAGAGAGAGAGAGAGA